GCGGGGCTGGGGGGTTTGTAGCTGATCCGCAGGGGTCTATGATGGGAACGGCCCGTTGCCCTCCCCCGCTGCCAGGCTCGCCCCGCCTGTCAGAGAAACCCCCGGGCCGGCAGAGCCTCAGGAGTCATCGAGTCCAGCCCCCTGCCCAGGGCCGGACCAACCCGACAATCAGCCCAGCCAGGGCTTGGTCAAACCGGGACTTAAACACCCCTGGGGACGGAGACTCCGCCCCCCCAACCCAGCCCAGCGCTTCCCACCCGCCTAGGGAAAGTTTTTCCTAATATCCAACCCAGACCTCCCCCTGCAACTTGAGCCCTTTGCTCCCTGTTCTGCCCCCACTGAGAACAGCCTCTCCAGGCTCTTTGGAACCCGCCTTTCAGGGAGTTGCAGGCTGCTCTCAAACCCCCTCTCCCCTTCGCTTCTACAGACTGAACAGACCCGACTCCCTCAGCCCCTCCTCATAAGTCATATGCTCCAGCCCCCTAATCATTTTTGTCGCCCTCCGCTGGACCCTCTCCAATGCGTCCACATCCTTTTTGTAGGGGGGGGCCCAGAACTGGAGACAACACTCCAGATGTGGCCTCACCAAAGCCGAATAAAGGGGAATAATGACATCTCTGGATCTGCTGGCAATGCTCCTCTTAATGCAACCTAATATGCCATTAGCCTTCTTGGCTACAAGGACACACTGTTGACTCATATCCAGCTTCTCATCCACTGTAACCCCCAGGTCCTTTTCTGCAGAACTGCTGCTTAGCCCGTCAGTCCCCAGCCTGTAACTATGCTTGGGATTCTTCCCTCCCAAGTGCAGGACTCTGCACTTGTCCTTGTTGAACCTCATCAGATTTCTTGTGGCCCAATCCTCCAATCTAGGTCACTCTGGACCCTGTCCCTGCCCTCAAGCGTATCTACCTCTCCCCCCAGCTTAGTGTCATCCGCAAACTTGCTGAGGGTTCAATCCATCCCCTCCTCCAGGTCATTAATAAAGATGTTGAACAAAACCGGACCTAGAACCGAACCTTGGGGCACTCCGCTAGAAACTAACTGCCAAGCTGCCATCGAGCCGTTGCTCACTACCCATTGAGCCCAGTCTTCTAGCCAGCTTTCTATCCACCTCACCGTCCATTTATCCGATCTATATTCCCTTAGCTTGCTGGGAAGAACACCATGGGAGACCGTATCAAAAGCTTTGCTAACGTCAAGGTCTATCACATCCACTGACTTCCCATGTCCACTGAGCCAAGGGTTAGGGTTAGCATCATAGAAGCTAATCAGATTGGCCAGGCAGGACTTGCCCTTGGTGAATCCATGCTGACTATTCCTGATCACTGTCCCCTCTTCCAAGTGCTTCAGAAGGATTCCTTGAGGATCCCCTCTATGTCCAGCTTTTGTAAATGGTTCCCAACCTGTTCTTCCTCCACCAAGGGCTGCCCACCTCCTTCCCATACTGCGTTGCCAAAGCTGACTTTGTGAAGACCGAGGCAAAGGAAGCCTTGAGTACGTCAGCTTTCCCCACATCATCTGTCACTAGGTTACCGCCCTCAGCCAGTCAGGGCCCCGCACCCTCTTCTTGCTAACATGCCTGGAGAAACCTTTCGTGTTCCCCTTCACGCCCCTTGCTGGCTGCGATTCCAGTGGCACTTTCGCCTTCCTCTCCCCCCCTGCGTTCTCGAGCAGTATCGACACCCCGCCCTAGGCACCTGGCAAGTTTCACTTCTTGTGAACTTCCTTGTGTTTAATCTCACCAAGGGTTTCCCTGTCCCGGAGCACCGGGGCCCAGGGCTCCGCGAGGGCCAGAGAAGCGGAGGGGGCCCTGGGCAGGGATCTCTCTGACCTCTCCCCACTGCACAGGGCAGGCCATCTGCTGGCCCCGGGACGCAATAGCGAGTCTGCTTCAGGCTGAGCCGCGGCAGCAGCTTCCAGCTGGGCACATGGGGCTGCCCCCCTCGCGATGGCTTTGCCAACCCCTGACAGAGGAGCCAGCCCCCCAGCACCAGCCA